GGACGCACTGTAGAATTCTTTTTGAATGTTTTGTGTTTTGGAAAATCCCTCCATGTTTACATATTTTTGCTATGACCTGATGGACTTTTTCTCTTGACATTTTTGGTATTTTATTTGATTCCAATTTGAGATTTTACCATTGTATGTTGTTATTCTTTCCATATTTTGTACTTATATTGAAGTTTTTGTGTTTGCTTTTGAGCTGTACATATATTGTTTAAATTTGATATAATATGGCTACCGCCACATTTTGGATAGACGCGGTGGCTGCTGGACTTAGTGTCACTTACTAGCTATTGTAATAGATACTCTACGGAGTAATTTAGTCCTGGAAGAAACAAAAATACCAGACGTTTTCTCCTAGAATTTTTGACCTTCTGATTTGGCTGGGACCTGGATCTAGGAGTAACGTACCGGAGTGTTTCTATTGGACGCGATTAGGACAGCCACCGGCGAAATAATTCTACAGTCTGGTATTTGCTCTTCTTGCGTGAATTGTACTTGGAAATATTTACCAGAACGCATATAATTTGGATCTATTTGGATTATTAAGAATTACAAGGAAACATTTGGAATTTTAATCGTTTATCATACTAGACTTCCTTGGGGGAAGAAGTTGGAACTACATATCATTAATTTTGAACTGAATTTTGGATTTACTCTATTTTGTATTCGTTACCGTCTTTATTGAACTTTATTTATGATGTCAAACCGAAAAAAATCACACATGAGGAGGGTGGAAGAGCTCGACGGATCACAGGGCTCTAGGCAAGTCGTTGATGATAACCTTTTTATGGGTAACCCTCATGTTATGTCTGATATTTATTATTGTAAGTCATCGATAGAGGGTTTAGAATTACCTAAGGTTGAACTTTCATATTTTGATGGAAGGTCTCGCGACTATTTTAAGTTCATACGACAGATAGAGACGTTTATAGAACCTCGAATCAAGGATGATCAAGTGCGTTTATTGTATTTAATTCATTATTGTAAGGGAAAAGCAAAAAATGCGATTGAAGGTTGTATTATTATGGATCCACAATCAGGATATAAGAGAGCTAAGGCCATTCTAAAACAGCTCTTTGGACAGACGCATGTAATAGCGCGAGAAACCTTAGAGGACTTATTTAGAACTGGGAATGTAGAATTTAATGATCCTGAATCATTGACGAACTTGGCCATTAAAATGCAGAATGCTTCTTTAACTTTAGAACAGTTAAATTGTACAGCTGAACTTAACTCTATGGCTACTTTAGAACGAATAGTAAGGCTCTTACCTCGTCGAATGCAAGCCCAGTGGGCAGAGCTAGTATTCAAGTGGGACGAAGAGGAGAGAGAGCCCAATTTTAACGAATTGACGGAATTTATTATGTCTCGTGCTAAGATAGCTAGTAGTAGGTTTGGAAGATTAGCTTATCAGGCTAAAACAGGAAATAATACGGAAGCTACTAGTGGTCTGCGTGTGAGACATTCGGATTCTTCGTTTCTACCTAAAGCACGCCCGGAAGATAAGAGATTTGTCAATTATATCACGAAAGCATAAGCTGATGAAGGACGAGTACGTGACCGTAACGATGTAAAGCCTCTTGATGCGTGTCCTAGTAAGAAGCCGGTTGGTGTAACAGATAAGATGGCTTTTCTAAGTATAGAACAGAAAGAAAAAGGTGAAAAGGGTAGGCATCAAGATGGATCCGAAGTGTGTGATGATAAAGGCCTCTTAGCTGCTCGAAAAGCCTGGAATGGTTATTTGGATTCGAGTAAACAGAGGTTGATGAGTTCAGCAAATATGAATAAAGCCCCGGCAGGATTGACTGAACGGAATAAAGCTTATTTTCGGAACCCCTCAGTTAGGGTAAATTATACAACTGGACCTAGAGTATATTCTAGGATAAGTGATGGTGGTACAGTAACGGCTAAGAAGCCTAGGAGACATGATGCTACTATTACTAAGAAGCCTGAAGCTCATACTCTTTTGGATGCTACTATTAGCCATGGAAATAGTAGCCATCAGAACCTTAGTAGTGACAGTGATAATAAGGATATAGAAAGTGTCAGAAGTCCACTTATAGGGACTAGTTTATCAACTTCATCGAATGAGCCTCCTAGTGTTTCGACGCCACCGGACCTCGTCACGAAAGTTAAGTTGATGGAAGATGCACAAGGTTGTGCAACTGTAACTGTTCCTATTACGGTTGACTGTCAGTCGAGTGACGATGAGAAGAAAGTGTTTGATGGTAACAGCCAGTCTACAGTGCTGTGTGATGACGATGCTATTGTTGAGCATATGTCTTGTGCCGCGGAAACGGATGCTAATGCAGAACGGAATCATTTAGACGTTGATAATAAACTGGATGTCACTGATGTGACAAATGAGTTACCGACGATGATGAACACTGTTCAAACCTCCTCTGCATCAGGAGATGGAAGGATAAATATTGATCCTACGTCATGCTACTTAAGGTCCTCTGGAGACGATGAAATGTCAAAATTGGAGATCCCACCCTTGCATATTATTTATGGGTCAAAAACTTCTGTTGATAAGTTAGCATCACGGACTTCATGGTATCTGCTGATCGGAGCAAGTGGTGGTGGATTGGCGACTCGTCCCCACGATAGAGAATGTAGTCCTTGGATAGGATATGACCAGTTTTGCGACGCGTTGTTCATGTTCGTATGGGTTAATTGGGTAAGGTTTATACTACCGTTAGGTCATTCCACGATAGATAGGGGAATCAAGGGCCTGATGGGAAAGTATAGGCATCTAGTTAGCGCGATAGGTCATATCCATGTTGGATGGCGGGTAGGCGTACTGCTGTAAGTCCTACACGTCATTCCGGTGTGGATTAGGGGATAACATGGGAACCCTAAATAAGGTGTCATTATTGCTTGCTGTTTTTGCATGGAGGGATTTTGCGGGCCGGTGTAGAATTCTTTTTGAATGTTTTGTGTTTTGGAAAATCCCTCCATGTTTACATATTTTTGCTATGACCTGATGGACTTTTTCTCTTGACATTTTTGGTATTTTATTTGATTCCAATTTGAGATTTTACCATTGTATGTTGTTATTCTTTCCATATTTTGTACTTATATTGAAGTTTTTGTGTTTGCTTTTGAGCTGTACATATATTGTTTAAATTTGATATAATATGGCTACCGCCACATTTTGGATAGACGCGGTGGCTGCTGGACTTAGTGTCACTTACTAGCTATTGTAATAGATACTCTACGGAGTAATTTAGTCCTGGAAGAAACAAAAATACCAGACGTTTTCTCCTAGAATTTTTGACCTTCTGATTTGGCTGGGACCTGGATCTAGGAGTAACGTACCGGAGTGTTTCTATTGGACGCGATTAGGACAGCCACCGGCGAAATAATTCTACACACACATTGCGGAAAGCACCGAACTACGTCACGAGACAAGCCCTCACATGGAACCCTCAAGGCAAAAGGAAAAGAGGAAGTCCAAGGAACACATTACGCCGAGAAATAGAGAAAGATATGAGAGGAATGAACAAACATTGGACAGAACTGGAGAGAGAAGCCCAGGACAGAGTTGGTTGGAGAAAACTGGTGGGTGACCTATGCTCCATTGGGGGTAACATGCGTAAGTAAGTAAGTAAGTATTTCAGCAATGGTGTTATCTTCGTGTGAGTATACCACTACAACCTCAAATCACTGAACCTTTCCTCACAAGTTTATACACGCCCTAGATGTGATCTTCCACAAATTTATAGCGTCATAAATACTTCTGGGCACTTCGCATATTTTCTTCATCTGTTCCTTTCACTAAATGACGCAATGGCGATGTTCACTAAACTGATTTCTTCTGAAGAGACTTTCGCTTTAACGGCTGTCAACGAGTGTTTCACAAGCAGGCTAAGGCTTATTGAAGGCAAATATGAGTTTTATGAAGGAGTGCATGGTAACTAACTTATATCCAAAATCCTTATACTATTCACAACTTCAAACTAATGAAAAGACTTCAAAGCATTATACACTAAATTGAACCGTTCTTGTCAGAACATCCTCCATCCTGGTTGAGCAAAAGACAGGCAATAGTGACTATGAGCCTTATTATCGCTCACTTGATGAATATAGGTCATTAAGTAGATGCAAATAATGCTTTACGGTCACTTACCATATTCCAACAAATTTACCACATGGTTTAAAAGTCCATCTTCTGCACGTTACTGAAGCTATCGGAATGCATGTTTACGAATAATACCTTTGCACTCGAAAGAACTGTATAAAACCACTTTGTTTTCCTGGGCAGCCAGCATAACAGTGAACTTTAGTTGGACTTTGGTGAATAATGTTACTTCAAAATATTCAATTTGTATTTTATTTTTTGTAAATTCACAAGTTCTCTCCAGCCGTCCCTTGATTATTACATAGTACTGAAATTCATTCAAAGTATTTTGTTGATTCTTCTATACAATATGTAACAGAAGCTATTTAATCAAATTCCTCCATTGATTACTTTGATGAATACAATCCTTTTTCTTCCGATCACTCAACATTATTCACTCATCATTGATATAATAGGATTACTGAGTCATATAACTACTTGATTATTATTAATTCACATATATTTGTGTAGAGCTATGGTGAATAAATAAGTTAAATGAAATTACATCGCCCTGTTTGTCTCGTTTAATAAACGGCTAAATGGGAATTTTTAATAAACTACAGTGTTGAGGCGTAACTTTGGGCGGTAATTCCTTCACAGTAGTAAGTAAAACAGCGGTAAAAGGGAATAACCTTAATCTTTTGGTTGACTGAATCAGAAATTTACAGAGTCCTCTACTGCAAACGATACTGATAATACAGTCTGATGATTTTTTCAGAGGCAGTTTCATCATTTCCTTTAGAACTGAGGAAGGTTAGCCCAGTTTCAACCTCACTATTAATGTTCACACCAGTAAACTAATACACAGATAGAGATCACAAGAATTAAGCACCTTCCGAAGTTTGAGGTAGGAAGGTAATCCCGCGCTAAGTATAAAACCAATTCCTGTAGCGCATTTGAAGCCTTACGCTACCAACTCCTAGTTCCGATTATCGGTTTATCTTAATCTTGTGCTTGTATTGTTTCAGATTGTAACCGATTGCTTTCTCTATTAAAAGTAAGTGCATTATATGTGCTTTCTGAGTCGTTGACTCACTTTTTATCCTCCAGATAACCTCATACTCTCCCAGCATACAAATTACCTTCAGGCTAAACGCATACTTACCAGAAGCCGAAGTTACATCTTTGAAATGTACTGTTGATGATCACTTGCCTTCTTTAAACTGATTAATTCGTGTTAACAATCATTTCCAGGTCATATAAAATCAGTGTGACATACCTAGTGATTTTTGATGGCTGACCAGAATGAAGTCCAACTTCAAGATGGGGTTGGAGAACCGCATCAGTCAGATACTTTCGAAATAGATGAGGTTGATATACCTAACGTAGATGACGAAGAGATCTATCTTGAACATTGCCGAATCAAATGTGTTAGCAAATTAGAACGGTTTCCAAATGTCCGCTTATTATGTCTTCGGAATAACTTATTGAAAAAGTTAGAAAATTTTGAGCCCGTTTCTCAAACCCTTGAAGAACTGGATGTTTATGATAACCAAATCACTAAGGTAACGTTCCCAACTAAATATGAATGATCTTTTTTGTTCCGGTATAAATCGAAACGATCTGACAAGTTTGCCGTGTATAGCATATTACTACTTTAAAGTCACTTCCGACTTTTAAGTTTGCGACATGGTTGTACCTATTAGTCTATTCATACAATTAGTCTTATTTACAGGTTTCATGCACCTCTTAGTGTATGCTTACATCGGTTAGCTCGGTGAAACCAAGGGAATAAAACATCAGGATTCTTAATATGAGTTAACCGGTTAGACTCCTTCAAACTGAGATGTTTTCGTTTTTCTGCAGTGACTAAGTTATTAACTAGGTCTTATTGTCGTTATGCAGCCAAATAATATTAGACAGTAATCTATCTCGATTTATACTAAAAGAGCTTTGTGGTAATGTGGGTTCTAAGTTTGGGAAACTACACAACAATCTGGTGTTCAGAACAAAATCTATCATACTGGCAGGTAGGATTTTAGTATTAGTGACTTACATCATAGAAATGTAGCTGTACTGATAACAGTTTTATCGGTTAAACAACTGGTTAGGATATTACTTGATTATCGTCTTAATTCACCACCTTGAGAATCAGCAAAATGTTAGTTTGGGAGTTGGAATAACATCGTTGGCAACGGATGACTAAACATGCAAAATATAGTTAGAAAAAACGGATAAGACTTGGAGGAAAGCTAATTGCAAAATAATGTCTATACTCAGTATTTAGAGTAAGCTAAATAGTGAGAGTACTTGTACTACTGTGATTGGTTTCGACCTATTTCATCTAGAATCACCTTAGTATCCATGAGTCTGGTTAGCAAATCTGCACTTAACCCAACTTAGTCTGGCATCGCATTCCTGAGACGACTGTTTGATTATTCTAGTACAGTTACCTGAGAATGTAGGTATTTGGGATATATGTCTTCTTACTTCCAACACCTGTTTTCCAGATTCTTAGTTATTCATTCAGCCCATACTTGCTAGTATTAAGGTTATGCTATCCATCCTTAAATTCCTTGAATCATTTATATGGATTTCTCGGTATGGTAAGGTTGGATGTGATAATCAGCTGCATCTCGTAAGCCTATACCCAAAAGGTTGCTAAAAGCATGTTACCCGTCCTTGGTCGCTGCGCACATCAGTGAGATGTGAGTTGAACAGGCCAGACTTTAGGTGATTAAACAAAAGTTAATGACTGATAAGATTTTTAAGTCAGTGAAAACTAAAGGTTAACTATTAGGTAATTGGGACGCTTTTTCGGTATCTATAATAAACACATTCATCATATTCCTTTTTTCATTCCTTCTTCATTTTTGATATCAATATATTTATTACTTATAATGCATTCATCCTTACTGTTATGTTCATAAGGTGTAGCATCGCAAACAAATGAAATGAACGCAATATTTTAATCGCGGTTCAAACTGTTAGATGACCATGCAACGTTACTAAAAGCTTCACTGTGACAAGTTTTATGACGTTTCCATATGTCTTATTTTCAGATTGAAAATTTAGAATGCCTCACAAAATTGACTAATCTGGATTTGAGCTTTAATCGGATCAAATATATCGAAAACTTAGAAAATCTAAATAATCTCCGGAAACTGTTTTTTGTAAACAATCATATTTCGAAAATTGAAAATTTAAGCAATTCGCGGGACCTAGAAATGTTAGAACTTGGCTCTAACAAAATAAGGAAGTTAGAAAATTTGGAGGAATTAAAAAAATTAACTCAACTGTATTGTGGTAAAAACAAAATCACAGCAATAGAAAACTTGGATAACTTGACTAATTTAACCATTCTTAGCATCCAAGTGAGTATATTTGTTTATATTGCATAAACCAAGAGATATTTAGGATTTAAAGTATAACCTATACGAACTTTTAAAACAAACAATTTTGCAGGTGGGCGTCGAGTGCATAAAATCACAAGTGCAAGAATGTGTTTGTAAGTGTCTGCAATCAAAACTTTCAAGCAGATTGATTAGGAAGCCGATAGTACGAAAAGATTTAAATCGTACTGCTGACTGTAGTAAGGTATTTCCTATAAGTAACTGTTACTTATAGAAATTTGACCCTTCCACCTGCGGAATAATTTGAAAAGACCAACCGTAGATGTAACACGCCTTCCCGTATCCCATGGGAGGTATAGGGCGTACAAATCGAAAACTACTCACGGAAACACTGACTCTAGCCACTTGTCTCCTGGGTTCTGAATTCACATGCACATTGACGAAGATGTCCCACGAAAAGAAGTGACAAACTCAAAAGATGCCGATCACCCACAAACCTTCAACTACACTACAGTCAAGCACTTCCTAACACCTCTCTGATTTGCATTGTTACCTGCCTTTTCTCTGGCTACACCTCTCTCATGAGGGACCAGGAGGCTAGTATACCGCACTGAAGTTCACTTGATTTCACGTAATATCTGTGAAATGATTTGAAATTTGCTGCATCGTCCTAGTTCCATCCAAGTAGACAAAACCTCTAGTTACGACCAACATCCTGACTTTATTGCTAAACTCGTATCGGTTGTAATCATCACCAATGAAAGTTCTGACCAACCTTCGTGAGATAGTAAAAACTAAGAGACATCCATTTTAATTAATGATGTCCATCTGGATTACTGCAAACTGTATCCCAACTGTAATGTAAGAATAACAGTTCTCAAGGAAAATTAAAAAATATCATTTTCAAGATCATTAGCAATGGCTGCATAGTTTGGCTCATCATTTTCAACAAAAACCTTGTCATTACACTGTTGGTTAAACAATAGTCGAGCACTTATCAGTATGTAACAATTAAGACTATGCATACTGAGCCTGCAACTCTTAAGATGGTTTTGGTTAACCCAATACAAAGCCTTAATTCTCACAAAGTAATGTCGTGAGGAGGTAGCATTTGGAAATTCATCGTGTATCCCTTCTTATTATTAAAACTGTCAAACTTTACTTGTCTTTTAAATAGAACTAAGATCTTGTGTCTTTATCTTTCATTTAATTGATTATATAGGGTAATAGACTAACCAAAATAAGTGGACTAACCAGTCTTGTTAATCTGGAGCAACTATATTTGAGCGAGAATGGGATAACAGAGATTGAAGGGCTTGAAACACTATCGAAGTTACAGATTTTAGACTTAGCGTACAACTTCATCTCACAAATTCAGAACATGTCTCATCTAGAGAATTTAGAAGAATTTTGGTTTAATGACAACAAGATATCTGACTGGGAGCAGCCGGCAAAGTTGAGTGTACTAAAAAAGCTGCGAACATTATATATGGAGCGCAATCCAATCTATTTTCTAAACACGGACCGTACAAAACATGATCCTAATTACCGTCGAAAACTGCTATTAACCCTTCCAAATCTTCAACAACTGGATGCAAACCTTACGGGGGTTGGCATCTGATCAAATTTTTACCGTATTGATTGATATTTCAAATTTCTCTCGCAGCTTCAAATCTTTTGTTTTTAAGCTTTGTAGAAAATCATGATGCATTTCAATGTAATCTTAACCAACCAACTTGTATTGTTTGTTAAAGGCTTGAGAAAAACCAGGCTGTGGTAAGACTTATGCTCTGGAAGCTAAACACAATGGTCTTTTAGTGTCCATATCTATCCATTTATAAGGTAATGTATGCAATCGAAAAAATGCATGGAACCTGACCAGATTAAACAATATCCACTCACGACGAGGATGCCATGCTGAGATAGCCTGATGCACAATGTGCATCCGATGCAGAGTAGTGACCGCACTAAAATTTTCATTTGAACTCCGTATCTACACATTAATTACTGTTTCGAAAGCAATAAGCGTACATTAGTTTGCTGTGCTTATTGGTGCGCTATAGAGAGAGGGTATCATTGCGCTGTAGAATAGGAAACGAGATAAAATATTACTATCATAGTACAGCAACAAGTATCGATTTTCGACAAAATCCTGTCTTTATAAACATGGTCCGTACAAAACTAGTTTATTCAATTTAAATGAGCATTTGATTTGATCGTTTCATTTGTAAGTAATGTATTGGTACTAATCCCAAAGATATAATTAGCAGGTTACGAGTACTATCACTTGAATTCGTTTTGTCACAAAAGCTATCATACTAATATATAATTTAAAAGATCTTAACGTCATAAGTTTATGTATAAACATAGGGATTATTCATACGCATAATTATGGTTGTTTAGAGCAGTGTTTTATCACCAGTTAGTGACATAAACCACCCAACTTGGTGAATAGGATAGAAGGAATGTGCGACAGCTATGTATCTTCAAACATTACATCTAAAAAGTCGGGAAGACCTAGTCCACGCATAGCAAATAGCTCGGCTCGCTTTTTGGCCAGTTCTTTGCGTGCAGATGTTTGTTCTTGTTGAAGCTTATAAATTTCTTCTTCTGTAACTCTTTCCAGCTCCTCATCGATGTTTATTTCCGGGTTCTATAAAAGAGAGATAAGTCAAAGATGAAAATACACATCCTAAACCAATATGCGAATAAATTATTTATTAATTGTTGTACAAATGGTTCTAGACCCTAACATTGGGGAAGTGGGTTTCACTTGTAGCTTTCACTAAGTGTAGCTCGGACTACTCTAAATAAGAGTTCGCTTTGTTAATGACGCTAACCTTACTTATAATTTAACAGTAATTAGCTTTGTGCTACTGCTCTATGTCAATCTTAGGGAATCAAATTGGATTAAACATATAAGGCGGTGTTGACTCAATAAAAATAATTATTCACTTATATTTAAAACAGCAAAAGTAAACTGCAGTGTCCCCTGAGAGATATTTTACAGAAAGCTAAGATTCAAGCAGGCTTTTTGCGTCCGAAACGAGAATGCCGACCGCTGGTCTAGACTAAGCGATTTCTTTAACTAGGGCACTACCATAGATTATTCTTGGAATATGCGGTGCTAATAAAGACATGTAACGTATTTACCACGCGCACAAAACGTGTGGACGACCGACTCCTGGAAATTAAACAGATTAAAATCTTATTAATGATTTAACACGCTGAGTTCCGCTCGCATTGAAAAATATCATGTTACTGTAATTTTCTATGAGTTTTAGAAAACGTATGAATACCGCCTAGATGCTTGGACAAATACAACGCAGAACTTCGTACGTAAGTACATCAGTTCATGTTGCCATACCACATTAGCACAGGGATGTAATTTTCAATTCAAATCCAATAATAGTAGAGGAAGTAAAGGTATTAGAAGTAATCGGAGAGGTTAGGATTAGACGATATTATTCAAGAAGTATGATTCAGTGAGATAAGTTTAGAATGACAAAACTAGAGGTGTTGAGTAATACAGAAGATTGGAATTACAAAGAACACAGAGTGGATGCACCTGCGCCATTGCAAACGGTTTTGAGCCATGTCATTCAGGATCTCTAACCATCGATTACTAATATCTCGCGGACCCAAACCAGGTAGTCGACACCTACCGACATGGCTCAGTCCACCTGTCAGTGACTTCATACATTTCTGCCACGTTTTGGTCTGGCCGCCCCCAACTTTCTTCCAACCTACACCTACACTACAAAACAAAGCTCGTCCAGGAAGTCGGTTGTTAGGCATGCGAGGCACATGTCCCACCACCTCAACTGATGAAGTTTCATTACTTCATCTACTGATCTGCAATTCTTACCTAGCACCCGTTTCCTAATAACAGCAATGCTCACTCGGGTGTCCCAGGATATACGAGCAATGCTTCGGAGACACCTATGATCAAAAACCAGTAACCTACGAATATCTTCTACTCTCACTGGCCATGTTTCACAGCCATAAAGTAAGACGGAGCGAACTACTGCACAGTACACTCGTCCTTTAGTCAGAAAACGGATATCTCGTCTACGCCATAAATGATACAGGTTGGCAAAAGCTAATCGAGCCTTCTGTATCCGAGCTGAGATTTCGTCAGTCACCAGGCCATCATCACTGATGAGACTCCCAAGATAAGTGAAGCGGTCTACACGTTCGACTACTTCACTCCCTATCACTAGTTCAGGTGCCGATGAAACCCAATCTCGAAGCAACATTTTGCATTTCGACGGGGAAAACCGCATCCCGAACATGCTTGCATTGTTGCTCAACCTGGTCAGAAGACTGCATTTCGTCAGCGTCTTCACCAAGTAGGACTATGTCATCGGCAAATTCTACATCCATAAGCGATCCTCCTGGTAATAGGTCTACTCCTGAAAATTCAGACGAGGATAAGGTTATTTCTAAGAGCATGTCTATGATAAAATTAAACAAGAATGGAGAGAGTGGACATCCCTGACGGACACCACTTGAAGTAAACAATTCCGATGACAGTTCGCCATCATATCTCACTCGACCGGTGGTGTTCGAGTAGAGAGCTTGTATAAGGTTAATGTACTTCTGTCGTACACCTTTCAATGACAGACACTAGCCACAGGACCTCACGAACCACTGAGTCAAATGCCGCTTTTAGGTCCAGGGAAACAACTATTCTAGGACGCCTAAATGTGTGTCTGTGTTCCAGGACCTGTCGTAGTGTGAAAATGTGGTCTATACAGCCACGGCCAGGTCGAAAACCAGTTTGGTTTTCTCTAGTCTGCTCTTCACGAGCTATAGTAAGGCGTCTAAGTATAATCGAGGCTAACAATTTAGAAACTATATTAGTTAGACTCATTCCCCTGTGACTGTCATAAGGGGACTTTAATCCTTTCTTATAGATTGGGACAATCAGTGATTGAGACCAGTCGGATGGGATTACGTCCAGTTGCCAGATTCTACGTAAGATCTCAATCAATCTGACTGCAAAAACTGGACCACCATCCTTAGAAATCTCAGGGGTCAATCTATCAGGGCCCGCTGCTCTCCCTTGTTTCAGATTTCCTAGCGCTTTCGCAACTTCATAAAGATTCGGAGGAATTAGGTCGGTTTCCCACTCAGGATTGCTGGAGATCGTGGGCAACCGAAGTGTGGCTGAACGCCAGTTGAACTGATACCTGAAGTGTTCTGCCCATCGATCCAATCTCCTGGATTGAGAATGGATAATAAGACCATGTTTTTCCGAGATAGTCTCACACTCTGGTTCCCAACACCGGTTTCCCTGATAAGTCTGAATAGTTGCCTACTATGGCCTATCACCGCTGCCTTTTCCATCGCTTTTGCGTTGGTCTTGGAGACTTGGGAGCGTGACCGCAGAGCCCAAGGGACAACTGTTTGAGGCCGGTCACGCACGGCCTTTTTATGAAGGGTTTTTTGAGTATTAGCTCCGCTCTTAAAGGCCCTTAGTGGGCATCTATCATCAACAAATAGTTCAGTAGAAAATTTTAGATGAGAATGATGTGAGGATTAGTTTTACCATTTAGTAATTAGGGTGTATCTCAAGAAATAGAAAACTGCAATCACTGCATTAGTATTCCCGTCTAAGCGAAGTAAGTTGTAATTTATTGTTCATTCACTCGGGTTAGCGGGACCGCTAGATCTATTGAGAGCCCTTCTAAACAAGAAGTGTAATGAAAGGACTGGACGAACATCTATCTACAAAGGTTATTGATATATAAACGACTAAGTGATTCTAGTCCCGACCATAGCTGCTACCTCGACATAGTGGTCGAGCTTGCCTATCGCGATGACCCAAACGATCGATATTGGCTGGAACATATGTTCCTGAAGGTCCTACCATGCCAGACAGGTCGATTGAAGAGCAGTAAGACCAAAGACGACAATTTAAGGTCTGAGGGAGAAGTCGCACTGCCGACTGTAGAGGGGTGTAACAACAGTAAGGTGTTTCCCTCGGACAACCAGCATCTGCAGCCTTCTCACGAGAAAGGAAGGAGTAAGAAAAGGTCGACCTTAAAAATGTCACATCTCACCCTACCTCACGGATTTTCGTCTCCGGCGGTAAGGCCTTTTAAACATAAGCGGAGCTAACACTTTAAAAACCTCATTAAAAGGCCGTGTGTGATCGGCCTCAAGCAGTTGTCCCTTGGGCTTTTCAGTCACGCTCCAAGGTCTCTTAGACCAACACTAATTTACCTTCGTTTTCAGGTTTCTAAAGAAACGCCGTTCCAAGGTGTGTGCAGCCGGGAAGTGACATCCGCCCCCATACCTGTAACAGCACACGAGACCAAATCAGTCACAATCAAATCCTCCCTACACCTAATAACCTTAACTCTATGACCTAATCTCACATCCCTTTATCACCTGGCGCCTTTGACACAAAAAAGACTCTAGTACGTGACACGTCATTCCTGGTATTCTGAAACCATGGCCTGAAGTACATGTTGGAGTATTAAATGTTCGAATCTTATGCCAAATAGGAAAACACGCTTCTTTAGCTAGGACTCCGGAATTTTGTGCCATCGATGTGTTCTGCGTCTCCAAAACGCGTAAACAGGATTCGAGCAGTGTCATTCATTTGATCACACCATGTCAAAATAAAGAACCAACTTGATTTACTTTTCGTGTATTTGTAAGATCCACTGCTGCTTCCCCTGGCCTCGCTGGTGTAGGTATAGCATTCAGTTCGAAAGCAGAAGTAGCTCTCTTAGACTGGATCCCAGTAGACAGTAGCTTGCGCGCTACCAAACCAAACGGGGCAGTAAGGGCTAGGAAAAATTGGACACGCACTGCTGCCTATTCGTCGTTTCTGCCTACAATCTCACTGACTGCAGCTCAAATGAGGTAAAAGGTGAGTTTTACATGAAGCCCTCTATCCTCTAAAAAGTTGGGGGCTCTGATATAGTAATACTGGCGGGTGACCAATGCTCAAGTAGGTAGACTAAGCGAAAGTGGATGGATCGAAAACAGATGGTGGCGTCCATCTACTGCAGCCATGCATAAGGGAAAAAACCTTTTAACATGGCGACCCCCAAAGTCGTCCTAGCGTTGGACCCAACTAAATCACATTCCTATCAGCCACCGATCGAAAGGCTCGATAGAAGATTGCAGCTCATTCTGGAGCAGATGTTTAGATTCAGATCATGCAATAATGTGAGCGCGAATTTATTCCGTCTTACTGGACGTAGGAAAGAATCTGCAAGGAGACCTGTTAAGGGTTCTGCTTAATAAAAGTAAACCTAAGTATAAATTTTAGGAGTAACTAGGAAATGTAGGTGATGCCCACTCTGAGGCAGCTAGGAATGATGTCCATAAAACTGTGAAAACAGCGGTGGTATCTACTAGTACGGTAAACCACAAGGTTGGGGAGAAGCATTGGATCTCAGTAGCATCTACCGAACTGATAGACGCTCGGAAACTCATCTCTCCTGGCTGTAAGTAAGATGAGAAGTGGAGCCAGTTTGAGCGCAGGTTCATAAAAAAGCCTTTAGAAACCTGAAAAAGAAAGGTCAGTCAGTCAGATGCAACGTAGAACTTCGTACGTAAGTATATCAGTTCATGTTGCCATACCACATTAGCACAGGGATGTAATTTTCAATTCAAATCCAATAATAGTAGAGGAAGTAAAGGTATTAGAAGTAATCGGAGAGGTTAGGATTAGACGATATTATTCAAGAAGTATGATTCAGTGAGATAAGTTTAGAATGACAAAACTAGAGGTGTTGAGTAATACAGAAGATTGGAATTACAAAGAACACAGAGTGGATGCACCTGCGCCATTGCAAACGGTTTTGAGCCATGTCATTCAGGATCTCTAACCATCGATTACTAATATCTCGCGGACCCAAACCAGGTAGTCGACACCTACCGACATGGCTCAGTCCACCTGTCAGTGACTTCATACATTTCTGCCACGTTTTGGTCTGGCCGCCCCCAACTTTCTTCCAACCTACACCTACACTACAAAACAAAGCTCGTCCAGGAAGTCGGTTGTTAGGCATGCGAGGCACATGTCCCACCACCTCAACTGATGAAGTTTCATTACTTCATCTACTGATCTGCAATTCTTACCTAGCACCCGTTTCCTAATAACAGCAATGCTCACTCGGGTGTCCCAGGATATACGAGCAATGCTTCGGAGACACCTATGATCAAAAACCAGTAACCTACGAATATCTTCTACTCTCACTGGCCATGTTTCACAGCCATAAAGTAAGACGGAGCGAACTACTGCACAGTACACTCGTCCTTTAGTCAGAAAACGGATATCTCGTCTACGCCATAAATGATACAGGTTGGCAAAAGCTAATCGAGCCTTCTGTATCCGAGCTGAGATTTCGTCAGTCACCAGGCCATCATCACTGATGAGACTCCCAAGATAAGTGAAGCGGTCTACACGTTCGACTACTTCACTCCCTATCACTAGTTCAGGTGCCGATGAAACCCAATCTCGAAGCAACATTTTGCATTTCGACGGGGAAAACCGCATCCCGAACATGCTTGCATTGTTGCTCAACCTGGTCAGAAGACTCTGCATTTCGTCAGCGTCTTCACCAAGTAGGACTATGTCATCGGCAAATTCTACATCCATAAGCGATCCTCCTGGTAATAGGTCTACTCCTGAAAATTCAGACGAGGATAAGGTTATTTCTAAGAGCATGTCTATGATAAAATTAAACAAGAATGGAGAGAGTGGACATCCGTGACGGACACCACTTGAAGTAAACAATTCCGATGACAGTTCGCCATCATATCTCACTCGACCAGTGGTGTTCGAGTAGAGAGCTTGTATAAGGTTAATGTACTTCTGTCGTACACCTTTCAATGACAGACACTAGCCACAGGACCTCACGAACCACTGAGTCAAATGCCGCTTTTAGGTCCAGGGAAACAACTATTCTAGGACGCCTAAATGTGTGTCTGTGTTCCAGGACCTGTCGTAGTGTGAAAATGTGGTCTATACAGCCACGGCCAGGTCGAAAACCAGTTTGGTTTTCTCTAGTCTGCTCTTCACGAGCTATAGTAAGGCGTCTAAGTATAATCGAGGCTAACAATTTAGAAACTATATTAGTTAGACTCATTCCCCTGTGACTGTCATAAGGGGACTTTAATCCTTTCTTATAGATTGGGACAATCAGTGATTGAGACCAGTCGGATGGGATTACGTCCAGTTGCCAGATTCTACGTAAGATCTCAATCAATCTGACTGCAAAAACTGGACCACCATCCTTAGAAATCTCAGGGGTCAATCTATCAGGGCCCGCTGCTCTCCCTTGTTTCAGATTTCCTAGCGCTTTCGCAACTTCATAAAGATTCGGAGGAATTAGGTCGGTTTCCCACTCAGGATTGCTGGAGATCGTGGGCAACCGAAGTGTGGCTGAACGCCAGTTGAACTGATACCTGAAGTGTTCTGCCCATCGATCCAATCTCCTGGATTGAGAATGGATAATAAGACCATGTTTTTCCGAGATAGTCTCACACTCTGGTTCCCAACACCGGTTTCCCTGATAAGTCTGAATAGTTGCCTACTATGGCCTATCACCGCTGCCTTTTCCATCTCCCTTGCTTTCGCTACCCACAACTTTTCTCGGTCATTGCGAAGGCTTTTTATCAGCCTGCGCCTGAGCTGACTCCGCTCCTTATCACACTCAGAGCCAGGTGGGATGAGGTTTCGAGCATCCATCAGTTCGGTAGATGCTACTTAAATCCACGGTTTCTCATTAACCTTGTGGTTTACCTTACTAGAAGATATCACTGATGTTTCCACGGGCTTTTTGATATAATTCCAAGCTGCCTCAGGGTGAGCATCACTTACTACATGGCTGCCTAACTGTTTTTCCAGTTGCGCCTGAAATATATTCTTAGCTTTATTATCGTTAAGTAGAGCGCTAAGAGCTTTCCTTGCGTCCAGTAAGGCGCAAACAAATACGTGCTGGCACTAGAGCATGGTCTGAGTCTAAGCAAGTGCTCCAGAATGAGCGGCAGTCTTCAACAGAACCTCTCCACCTATGGCTTGTAGCTACGTGATCTAGTTGGGTCGGCTTCGGGGCTGGCCAGGTCAAAAGGTGTTTCGCCTTATGTTTAAGGTTAGTGTTTCCTAGGAATAGGCGGTTATCTGAGCATAGCTGCAGGAGACGGTTGTCATTATCTGTTCTTTTAGCCGTGACACCATAAGATCCACCCAGGTGTCTTTCCTTTTCGCTGAGTTTACCTACTTGAGCGTTAAAGCCACCAGCTATTATTACTATCAGAGCGCTTAACATTTTGGAGAAGTTTAGAGGGGTCTCCATAAAACTTATCTTTTATGTCGTCTGAACTGCAGTCAGTGGGAGCGCAGGCAGATAGGACGAAGAGCAGTGACGAGTGTCCCTATCCTGCTGAGTCCGTACCGTCCCGTTTAGTTGGACAGAGCATAAGCAAGTGTCTATCGGGATCCAATCTAAGAGGGCTAGTTCTGCCCTAGGACTTAGTACTATACCTATTATGTGTAGTTATGTAATCTCTTTGTGGTCATTGATTTATAAATTGCTTTAATTGGTTTAGTATTTTCACATAAATATTTATGTATGTCAGAATTAAGTATAATGACGATCACTTGTTGTTTCATTTTTATTAACTAGGAACTACTTCATACATCAGTTGGAGAACGGCTAGAAATCAAGTTATCTTAAGAATACTACATCATTCATGATATTTCTTGCTTTTAGCCGTTCCTCAACTGGAAAACGAAGCAGCTTTAATAAATGTATATATATTTCTCAAAAAGTTTAAGAGGTAAGTTATCTTACCAGTTCCCCAATAATAGTAATATTTTCACCTCTAATCAAAAGTATTCCCTGGGGAATATCGCAGAATTTTTTCTCCACATGAATACGTTCCACGGCATTATGGAGAACAACATTGCCTACCGATATGTATATAGGATATATCTTACCGAACTGATCGATTATTCGAAGGAATCCAATAAACATACGACCTCCTCGTAAAATAATCGCCATTTTTTCTACAAAAGATCGTTGGACCACCAACAATCACAACGAACTTCCAATATCCTGAATTAGACTAGCAGCTCCTGGATAGTTATTTTCAAACGACGGCATCTCAAAATAGAAAAAGTATTTGAAAATGAGTAGACGTATTTTAACGTAGCCAATCGTGTCAATTAAGGTTAGAAAATAGAATAAAATGATTTCGATAGTTACACAAGAGTTTGTGTTCTACGAATGAATTAGCCACTTATTTACATTAGATCATTGCCTGACTATAGCTGCTACCTTGACGTGATAGTCGAGCTTGCCTATCGTGATGACCCGACCAAACTATATTGGCCCGAACTTATGTTCCATTATGTCCTACCATACCAGGTAGGTAGACTGGAGAACAGAAAGACCAAAGACAGCAACTTAACGTCTGAGGGCTAAGTGGTACTGCTGATTGTAGAGGGCTGTGACAGCAGTAAGGCGTTATCCTCGAATAATCAGCATCAGCAGCGATGCTACCTTCTCACATGGAAGGTAGGGGTCAGTCAGTCAACAACATAGAAATTCGTACGTACGTACATCAGCTCAAGTTGCCATACCACATTAGCACAGAGATACAATCGTCACTTCAAATTCTATAGTAGTAGAAGCATTAGAAGAATTAGCAGTAGTCTGAGAGATTAAGGTTCAACGATATTATTCAAGAAGTAGAATCTGGTGAAAGAAACTTAAAAAGAAAAAGATAAAGGTTAGGATTTGAAAGAACACAATGAATGCACCTGCGCTACTGCAAACGGTTTTGAACCATGTCATTCAGGGTCTATAACAATCGATTACTATCATCTCGCGGGCACCAACCAGGTAGTCGACACTTATCAACATGGCATGTCTACTTGTCAGTGAATTCATGGATTTGTGCCATGTTTAGGTCTGGCCACCCTTAGGTTTCACCCGACCTACTTCTAAACCACAAAACAGCTCGTCGAGGCATTCGGTGGTTGGGTATACATAACACATGTCCGAACCACCTCAATGGATGGACAGAACACTTCAGGGATCAGGTCAACTGGCCTTCAGCTACACTTCGCTTAACCATGATCTCCAGTCATCCTGAATAGCAAATCGATTTAGGTCCTTCAAGTCTTTACGAAGTTGAGATAGCTATAGGAAATCTGAAACAAGGGAGAGCAGCGGGTCCTGATAGATTTAACCCTGAGAATTTTAAGGATGGTGGTCCAGTTTTAAGTTGGGTCGACCGAGATTTTAGCTAGAATTTGGGAACTGGAACTGAACAGCGCGAGAGATAGAAAAGGCAGCGGCGATAGGCAACAGTAGACAACTATTTAGACTCATCAAGGAAACTGGTATTAGGAACCCTAGTGTGAGTGAGACTATCTCAGAAAATGACGGGACTATTATTTATTCTCAAGCCAGGAGACTGGATCGATGGGCGGAACACTTTAGGGATCAGTTCAACTGGCCTCGAGCCACTCTTCGGTTATCCACGATTTCCAGTCATCCTGAATGGCAAGTCGACGTAGGTCCCCCTAGTCTTAATGACGTTGAGAGAACGTTAGGAAATCTGAAACAAGGGAGAGCTGCAGGTCCTGATAGACTGACCCCTGAGATATTTAAGGATGGTGGTCCAGTTTTTGCAGTCAGATTGATTGAGATCTTACGTAGAATCTGGCAACTGGACGTAATCCCATCCGACTGGTCTCAATCACTGATTGTCCCAATCTATAAGAAAGGATTAAAGTCCCCTTATGACAGTCACAGGGGAATGAGTCTAACTAATATAGTTTCTAAATTGTTAGCCTCGATTATACTTAGACGCCTTACTATAGCTCGTGAAGAGCAGACTAGAGAAAACCAAACTGGTTTTCGACCTGGCCGTGGCTGTATAGACCACATTTTCACACTACGACAGGTCCTGAAACACAGACACACATTTAGGCGTCCTAGAATAGTTGTTTCCCTGGACCTAAAAGCGGCATTTGACTCAGTGGTTCGTGAGGTCCTGTGGCAGTGTCTGTCATTGAAAGGTGTACGACAGAAGTACATTAACCTTATACAAGCTCTCTACTCGAACACCATTGGTCGAGTGAGATATGATGGCGAACTGTCATCGGAATTGTTTACTTCAAGTGGTGTCCGTCACGGATGTCCACTCTAACCATTCTTGCTTAGCTTTGTCATAGGCTTGCTTTTAGATATTATGTTTTCCGAGGTGGACCTTCTACCAGGAGACACGCTTGTTGACTTACAATATGCCGTTGACAGTTCTATTTGGTGATGACGCTGACAAACTGGGCAAAATATTTTCTAATGATCTAATCATAATAAGCGCTATATTAACACTTTTGTACTCCTAAGAATGAAATGTTAGTCATATAGTAAGTTGTGTCACTGTGAACAAAGATATCGGAGAAAATTAAAATGCAAAATTATGAAGCAGAGTTAATTCACTGGATCAATGGTGAATATGCGAATAGCATCACAGAACATTTATCAAAACAATGGTAAGAATTACGATCTAAAGCTAGAGTTTTTATCTCGGACTGGTATTCGCAGTAATACAAGAATCTAAACTCCATATAGCAAGTTCCACTAAGAGTAATAAATTATAATTTTTCCTTTACTATGCCATGGTTGATTTGTGTTAAGTCTAAGTACTGCTTGGCAGCATAGTCGAGTTTTGCCTCTTACCTCAGTGTTCATTGGATAATTCCAACGCAGTTTACACAATCAGATTGTTAAAGGCTACATCGTATACAACCTAATAGGTCTTTTATGTATTTATTCACCGCGTTAGTGACTCGTGAACAAACCTCTTTCTTTCCAAAAACGGCTGTTTGTAGGAACATGACACTCACGAAACGCACTGTAGGAACGGCGTCAAATGGAGGAGAGTACTAGAAGTGATCAAGGAATAACGCTGAGTAATCCCCCTTAGTGTCTACAGAATTAAAGCAATCGTTTCACCTTCATTTAAAAGGATTTGCAGAAAACGACGTAGAATGATAGGAGCTGGACAAATAAAACTACATTAGTTTTATCTATTTTTTGGAACAAATTAACCAACAGTGAGGTGATAATGTGTACTTCCAAAAAAATAGTATAGACCAACTGTGAATAAGATTACTCGAGATAACTTACATTCAAAACTCAGACTGACGGCCGAGCGAGTTCAAGTTGCCAATTATTTTATGTAGCTTACCTTTCGAAGTAGCACGCGGAAAATATTCAATATCTAGCTACAATATATATCATTTATTGGATGAGGAACTTATTCAAAGTCGGTTTCGTGCTGAGTACATTTGCATCAACAAAACCCTGAAATCTAGTAACTTCATATATACTAGTCAGTTTGCAAAAGACCACAACCTACAGCATAATCTCATAGCCAATATCTAGTATCCAATATATTTTTCATAAGCTAGTATAAACCGATTGATTTCTTTTCCATCGATTCCGGTACGGTTCCAGGTTTTGGACACTATCTAACGGATGGGGGCCCAGCGACTGGACTTCTTGATCCTAGTCAGTCGGCCGTTGTGTGTGTTTCTATGTCCTGTGATTCCAGTTAGTACGTTTGTTACAGGGGAGTAGGATTTTTAGATACCAGCATCTATCACATCACCTGGACGGAGATCAGTTACTTGCAATGTAGGGAATAATCATGAGAAAATTCTTATGCCAATAAGACTACAGAACTGAGTAAATCAATGGATAATAAAATGAATTAGTTAGTAATAAGATTATTGGAGTTGTCCAAAATGTAAGCGAAGGGAAGGAATCAGAAATATTAAGCGAGATAGACTAGGTTAGCAATCTCAGCTAATGGCAAAAATATAAACCAAAAAGTCTCAACACATAGTTCAAGCACAACCGGTCCAAGAGTTCAGTGATAGTCCGTGAGCACTTGTTTATCAGGTCTCTTCTTAAAGCTGTCCACTGAAGGGGTTGTGGCCGCCTCGTCTTGGAAAGCATCCCAAGTTGCAACGACCTTTAATGAGAAAAAGTGTGCACGATCCTGGGAGTTTGCTCCTTGATGTGCAAGTTTTCAATGATTACCTCGAGGGGAGTGGCGGTGATGCTTCGGAAAGATGCTTACGTTGGGCAGACTCGGTGTACTTAATATGTTGTAAACCACTATCAGATCACCTCTGAATCTCCTTTAACTCAGAGAGAACAAGCATGAGTGTTAGATTCTCTCTTCGTAAGGCTTATTCTTCAACCCTATCACCTATTCAGTTGCTCGTCTCTGCTTTCGACCCGAGAGATTTAAGTCTCTTTTAACGAGAGTGGCTGCAACGACGTTGTGAACCTGAAGGCATGGGCTTGCTTATGTCTTGTCAAAAACAATCCTGGGGTGATAGCACCAAGTTTTCTTCTCATATAGTGAAGAGCTGAATTTGCTTTGGCTGCGGCCCCTATATAATTCAAACTGGTGTATGGCTTTCAGCGGTTGTTGAACCAAGATCGCTCTCTGAGGAATCACTATAAAGTGGACTTCCGTCGAGCGTGTAAATCTTTTGCGTCATGTGGAGCAGAACGTAAATGAAGTAACATATCGTCTGGCTTAGTTTTAAACCGTTTTTCAGTGCCCATTCCTCAATAGAAGTAAGGTATTTTGCTGCTCAGTTGAATCCTCTTTGCTTCGAATGGAGCTCAAGATCTTCCCATCGTTTGCGTAGATTAACTTTGTCTAGCAGAATGCTGAGTAATATCCATTATGTTAACAATCTTTTCTCCGTTTCAAATGTTTTGTTGAATCTATATTGTTCAAATAATAAATAATTTTAGTCAGATGAATGACCATTACTAAACAATAGACAGTGATGTTGTGTATGACCTCTAAAAACTGACATAACAAAGTCATTGTAAAAAATCCACTCCCTTTCATCCATCATGTTGAAAACCCGCTTTACAAATATACCAGTTGAAAATTTTATCAAGGCTAAAAATTACTCGTGGAATAATATATATTTAGCCCGTGTCGGGTAGAATAAAATTGTATTTACTTACGGTGTTAAAGGAACTGTTCAGCTAGTCGTCTAATGTTTATATGTAAAAATGTCACTGATATCCATATCTTGAGAGGTCTTTTGTCCGTAGTACCGTTACGATAGAGTACCGAAAACCAGAAGTCAGGGGTAAAGGAGATCGAAGATTTATTTGGTAGATAATCTGTATGTAGAGAAGCGTGCGATCTAAGCTAAATAACAGTTGCAAAGGATTGCAGAGCACGGCGTACTTAACAGTGGTCTGGTGCGAATAGACGACAGAACACTTTCAGCTAATGCGCAGGTGGATGGGGCACATATTGTGAAATTCACTCAAACGCATTACGAGGCAAATCCTTAGGACCAACAGAAATAATGCGCACGGCATCAGAGGTCAGCATCAAAATATCCAACGTCGCTCAAGGATAGCTGGAAAATAGAGAGTGCTTGCTAACAGCCTTTGCTCCAGGAGGGAAAATAGGCATACATTCATCAAACCAATCACAGTACCTAAATAACATGACTTGGAGATGCAGGTTAGATTTTAACCGTCAGATTTTACTGTGAAGCTGGTCAAAAGGTCACAGTATTGCTGTCCAACGTAAATAGATCTATCATCGACAGTGTCGACCTACAAGTCAATTTTTAGCATTTCTACTTTGGCTTATTACTCCTGGGCGTTATGAACGTCTAGTTCCCGTAGTCTAGAAAAGTCTCTAACCTCGTGAGTACATGCAGCGCTGAAACCAATCTAGTTCTGGTTTCTGATATGGTATGGTATTATCACATCACACTTAATGTTTTGTTTAGTTACAGAATACGTTTAGGTGCAGAAAAGCTGCAATCCTTTTAGTTCTGAATACTTGTTCTCTTTCTAAATTAATTATATACTAGGGACTGAACTCGTGGACATGTCAAGAATAGCGCCCATGAAAAATTAATGCGCATATCAGTATCTAAATGCTTCCGTATGTTACATCAGTCCATGAAGAAAATTATCATTGGGCCAAATTATTTCTCTGGAGCTTCTCAGTCTAATACTGACTTCAGAAAATAAGCTGCATATTGGACATTGTTAGAATGAAAAACTATGAAGTTCCGTGACAAGAGAGACCATCGAGTGTTTTTTCTTTCACTAACTCATTATGTCAAGTATCAGTGCTTAGGCCATAACGAGAGTGTTTATTAAACATCGTCAAATAATATTAGCAGAAATTACAGAGTTAATAGTCTCAGTCTCTTCGGACTGATTCACACTGATCTACGTTTTTACATCATGAGGGCTAATTGCTAGCTCCTATAAGAAGGTTGTTTCCATAACCTTGCTATTGAGAGAATATCGTAGTTATACAGTAAAATTAACCGAGTACTGGCGTCGATGAATTGGGACGCAACCGATATCTTGATAGCTCATTATGTGACCTTACTGAAACTAAGCTTTCAGAAACCACACTCTAGAAATACATATATGAATAGTTTGGTCTTATCATAAGGATCGGGAGGCTTTCAAACTTTGAGAAGGGGCATTAGAACTAGTTATGTTGTCGATATTTGAGCAGTTGTAGACCTAAGGATCATCGTATATATCTTCTATTTATTATGGTTTATCCACTGTCTATCATTATCTACTTTTGTTTACTACACTTAATGAAGCATAGGCTTCTAAACAGAACTCTCCAATTTACTCTGCCATGAGCCCTTCTTTCCAGTTCCAACCAACCACTGGTTGATATTTCCACGTCTGTCTCCGATTCTCGGCGCAGTGTGTTCTTCGATCTTTCACTTTTGCTTTAGCCTTGAGGATTCCTAGTTGTAGCTGGTGGTGTCTAGTCAGCGCATTCGCAGCATCTTTTGTAGACAAATAGTATTAAACGTCTGTATCTTAGGGATGATGGCTGTTGCTTTTATCAGAGTCTATACTCCATACAGTAGAACAGTCTCGACAGTCGTATTGAAAATTCTGACTGGTGTTAGTTAGCAATTGTGTTGTATCAGCGAATCTTGCTTTGCCCTTGTGTATGCGGAGACCTACTGTTGTTGAGGATGCTGCAACACTAGTGTTTCCCTGCATTTGTTGTTGTGTGTGGGATGGAAGGGCTATATCATCTTCGAAGTCCAGATCGTACAGCTGCATCTGAGCTCTCCACTGCATTCCGTGTTTTTATTGAGATACTGGAGTCTTCATAATCAAATCAATCACCAGGAAATGTAGTGAGAGTGACCAGCCTGGACCGACATCAGTCTTCACTTGGAATGAGTCTGTGAAGTATCCTTTATACACGACTATGAAGTGTAGACCATTGTAAGAATTCCGTGTGATGCTGACTATCTTCTCAGGTACACACACCTAGTATCCAAGAAGCCTCCAGTGTCATCCTGTGCATGCCATGAAATTCTTCCTGGTAGTTTAGAAGGTTGGAGTACAGTGGTGAGTCCCACTCAAGTGGTTGTCCTACAATGACCCGTAGCCTCGCGAATCGGTCGATATGTGATCAATCCTTACGGAATCTAGACTGCTGGTCCAGACGTTTATGTGAAAAATATTGGCTTTTTGTAAAAAGCCAGTGTACCTTGTGAGATATTTTTCTAACTGAACAATTTTTACAGTAAATATGATAGCAATCTTATCATTTTGATATTGCCTGTAAATTTGTATGCCTCTTGCAACATGTTGGTTGTTTGAGAATAAATTATTATTATAATTTATCTTTTATTGGAAGCAAGAAGACGGAATAGATCAGATGAAATAGGTGTATTTACTGGCGACTAAGCGGTATCCAAGATCTACTGAAACGTGCCACAGAATATGCGAACGTACTGAACAGGCAAAGCAAGATGGCGACTGAAAAGAAGAGTAGATCATGTGACTGTAGTGTAATGTCTGTGTATGTACAAAAAGAGCAAAGGTCACTGCGCAAAACAAAAGCACGAATAAACATTTATTTGACCATACGTTCATCCGTACAATTGATTATAGTAATGAATGTTGCTATTTAACCAGTAGTCTTTTTCTTCGTAAAAGCGAAATTACTACAACAATACAAATTATTGTTTCTTTGACCCGTTTCCAGTTGTTCTCCAAGGAGGTTACTTCTTTGTCGACTAGATTGTGGGTGGCTTGAAAATAATATTGAGAGTTATCTCGAATTTGTTGAGTTTGTCGGTATCCCGAAGAGAGGCCACAATAAACTTTTTGATGGTATTCGCCGTGCTGTTCAGT